ATATTAGTTTTGCTTAAGACGTTCCTTTTTTTTTTTACAAATATTACATCTATTAAGTTCGAATAAATGTTACTTTTGAATTGATGCTTTTTGAATCGTCTCCTTTAGACGTGTCCCCAGACGTCACTTTAAAATGACATCTTTCTTCCTTATATTGTGAGCATTTTGCTTAAAGCTTGCATTTTCTTTATTTCAGATTCAAAATTTCCCCAAATATTTTAGTGAACATTCGCCATCATTTTTATTGGAGTCTTAAAGCTTGTCATTTTCAATAATCTAAAAGTCAAGGTTACGCCATCACCAATCTGAACCTGAATTTTCTTCAGTTACGCTGAATGGTTGCACGCTCAACGAGACTTTGAATATTTATGGAGCTTCAATTTCACTCTAGTATTTAAATGGTGCATATATATATTTTCAGTTTCACTCTAGCATTTAAATGATGTATATATATATATATATATATATATATATATATATATATATATTCAGTGCCACTCTAGCATTTAAATGATCCATATATATATATATATATATATATATATATATATATATATATATACAGTTTCAATCAAGCATTTAAATGATGCACATATGTATATATTTTCAGTTTCATTCTAGCATTTAAATGGTGCTGTGACACTATTCAGCTATGGTAATTGGCTAACTAATTAAGCATGGAAATTAAAAGCGAGAAATACTTAAGGCGAGAAAAAGCTATAACGAAAGACATACTGAGCGATGTTATTTTTTTTAACAAAAAATGGGTAAAGATTTTATTTTCATTTGCGAGGAAAGGTATCTTTTTTCGCAGAAGATAGAAAATTCGTAAGATCTCGGATCTGTCAGAATTAATTTATGCCATGACGCGACAAGGAAAAACATAATACGGGTAAAGATAACAATCTGCCCATGGCAATAATGAAAATTTCAATTTGGTCAAAAGGCTTACAAAGCAGAATGCTAGAAGATAATCGAAAACTGGGTCAAGCATGCGACCGAGAAAGAATTAGGTGAGACCACTCCAAAAGAAAATGGAAGGTAAAGGGGAAAGAGAAAAAGAAAAAAGAATAAGCCATTAACTATCTTTCGGAGATATCATTTGGTTTTGGAAGGAGAATGATCTGTTGCATGTTCAGAACTTGTCATGATATAAGTTTGTTACCTGGACAAGCTGATGACGACAGAATGCGATGATATTGAGAATGACAAAGACATTTAGTTGACCAGCCAGATAATAAGTCGGCGAAAATCCCATTAATGAATCCCAGTTGACATCAAGTTAAGATAAAAATTTAATGTCCACAGTACGATTCATAAGAATTCTGGCCGATGGAAAACAAAGAAAAGTGAAGATAATTTTTTTTTGAGCGATAATTGTAAACTGAGGCCAGTCTAGCCACACCCACACTGCCGAGCGTTTATTGGCTGAGTGGTGGTGTAGGTGATGGGCGAAGGTAAACATATGAGAAAGAAGGGAAACCTGTTAACGCCCTCTGAGGGGATTGGTGTGAGATACCAATATGAGAAAGGAAGAATTTAGGAGGACAATTCCCTTAAGAAACCCTCTAAAACAGAAAGTAATTGACCTCCAAATATGGGAAGTGATAAATTTTCCTGTCCGAAAACAAAGAAAATCCGTATTATTAATCCTGGAATTATCGAGGAACCCAAACCACGACAGGCCCCCATCCGGTTTTGGTCGGCGTCCATATAAACGAACGACTCCAGAGTTTCAGACAGTTGGAGCACAGTTAGAGTTGGAGCCACAGAATTGAGTTGCAGTTGAGCCGTGATCTCGAAAACCAGCCTCGCACGAGCTGACTGGAAGATTTCCACGCATTCCGACTTAGACTTCTAACCAAAAACAGATTTTTTTAAGAACGACAAGTTTTAACGAATATCGCCTGAAGATACCAAAAAGCAGTTTATTGAAAAACAACTTAAGATATTAAGACTCGCCTAAGAAACGCAAAGTGTCACTAATCCATAGAAGCGGTTTGGTAGAAAGATGCAGTCCTGTATTCAGCAACCAGATATAAAGATACTTGTTATTCTTTTTTAATACATTTGAATTTTTTGAGTTGTCACTTCATTTTCTTTTACATATACTTGTGCGTTATCACCTTAGCCCCGGATTCAGCTTGCATTACGGCCCGACGCCTGATTGATTTCGTCTACCTAAGATCAAATCACAACGTGGGCAGGTTAGACTAGAAGTCAAAGCAGTTGCTTTGGTAACCAGACGTTGGAGGCGAGCTGGGAACGACAAAGCTGATGCCGAATCTAATCAGATTTCCATTCGATTCAGCCAAGGGTTAGATCGTCACAGGATAGCACGGGAGCAGAGAGACTAGGGTGACGTCACAGTGCAAACACACACACACACACACACACACACACACACATATAAATATATATATATATATATATTCATTTCCACTATAGCATTTAAATGGTGCACATATATATTTTCAGTTTCACTCTAGTATTTAAATTATGCACATATGTATATATTTTCAGTTTCACTCTAGTATTTAAATGATGCACACACACAGAGACACAGACACAGACACACACACACACACATACATACATATATATATATATATATATATATATATATATATATATATATATATATTTATATATATTCATTTCCACTATAGCATTTAAATGGTGCTCATATATATATTTTCAGTTTCACTCCATCATTTAAATGGTGCTCATATATACAATCCAAATAGATTCAATTTTTTTATTTATTCTATTGCTTTTAAAAGTGCACGTGTAAGATTAGTTAATATATATATATATATATATATATATATATATATATATATATATATATATATATATATTATCTTTTGGGTTTTGCCACCCAATATTCTCTTTAGAAAATTAATAGAGTTCGAAATCACTTATACAGTCTTGCTGAGGTTGACATATTAGATAATCTACTATCTCTTTTCCACATACGTAACGCCACCTACCTGTGGCTGGTATATCGTTATTGTCAATGAAAATATCCAAATAGGTTTCATTTTTAGATATTTATAGCTGGAACACGTCATGCCACATTCACAGAGCGAAATGCCCCACATTTTCTGAGTATTCTGAATCTAAGGGAGAAATTCTCACTTAGTTTTTTTTTCCCCGAATACTTTTTGGAACAGGTTCCTTTGCGAATCCTTCATTGACAACAACAAACACAACGTCTTCGTATCTAGAGTTAGTCCTAACTTATATTATTTATCCTCATCCCCTTCACTTTCTATCACGACCTTTCACACATTTTTGAATAGCAAAGGATGCATTGCAAAACTAAGCAGATTGCTAAGAAATAGGAAACTTTCGCTAGAAACAAGGAAACTTGTACTACACTGCTATGTGATAATCTGTTCTTCTGTATGGAAGTGAATGCTGTAGGATCTCATCAAAGATAAAGAGGTAACTTGAAGCAATAGAAACATGGTTCTACAGAAGGATACTGAGGATATTATGGATCGAACATGTGAGTAAAGACAAGGTTTTGGAGAAAATAGAAACAAAAAGGAAACTAATACTTAGCATCAAGAAAAGAGAGTTTCTAGGGTATATTAATGAGGAAAGGAGGTCTTGGAAAATTCAATACTCACCGGACAGATAGTGGGCAAGAGGAACAAAGGAAGACAACAAATAACATACTTTATATACTGGATAAATGGATGGCAGAACAGGGCTTAGGAGAAATATCAGAAAGACGAAATTTAAGAACTACAGTGGACAGGAAGTTGTAGAGAGCCATGATTACCTACGTCCAGTGGGGCATAGCACATAAAGAAGAAGAAGAAGAAGAAGTTCCCTTTGGTCCCAATAGACGTCGGATGCAAGGATCCGCATTTAGAGTATAGCCGTTCTTTAGAACTGTTTTAAATTTTGGGTATATTAAGAGAAATATTGCAACTAAAACTAGCAAGAAAACCGATGTGAATTCAAGAAGAACTGTTGTCGCTTGATCTCTAACAAGAGACTTCAGCTGCTACAAGTTTGAAAATTGAAACAAAATAAATAACAGAAACAATGACAAAATGGTGGCGAAAAGAGAGAAAAAATTCAAGAATATCTTTTCCAAACCCAGTCGTTATCTATAAGGAAAACGTTGTTATTATGATGATATACTGAAGTAGCTTTACCTCCAGTTTCTCTAGGCCTAACATAGCAAATAACCGCCTTATTAAAATAATAAGGACTTTTAATAATATATCCACGGTTTAGATTTAAAAAATAGACAAAAAGAAAGATAACAAGTAAAGCCAGGGAAGAATGATGGCATAAGATTCAGAAATAAACAGTCATCGGGGCATTCCAAGCGGGAAAAAATGCTAATAAAAGTTATCCCAAAATTACGTATTGTAAAGCTTAAGGCTATGTAATATTTGAATTGACATGAGAAGAGAATAGCAACAAAAAGTAAAGGAAGAAAATATTATAACGAAAAAAATCTTAATAAAATATGTGTTAGAGAAACTGATGAACGTAAATATGGCGGAAATGAAACTGGGTGGAGAAAGAAAGAAAGAAAGAAAGAAAGAAATAAAGAAAGAAAGAAAGAAAGAAAGAAAGAAAAAATGTACGAAGAAAATAGAAGCAAAGAAAAGTAATAGAACACAAAAAAATGAAAGAAAATAAAGAGAGCATTAGAAAAGTATCTGTTAAAATGATGAAATGAATATAGAGAAGGAAAATTATATTTAGATAGAGAAAAGGAAACAAAATGGCGGTTTCTAATATCAGAAGGAACAAGAGGTAAAATTGAGATTGAATAGAAGTCATATAACTAAATAGCTAAGGCAGAAAAGAAAAATATGAAGAAGAATAACAGGACGAATAGGTGGAGAGAATGAAAAAAGAAAAGATCCATATAAAGAAAGAAAAAATAAGACAGAAAAAATGAGTAAAAATAATCAAAAAGAAAACAGAAATGGAAAAGTGTAGGGAAGTAGATACAAGATGGAGAAATGCAAGAGAACTCGAAGAAGGAAGAGGTTAAAGAAAGGGAAATGGGCATTTTTCTTCTTTTTACAAACTTTTATACCTTTCGGTTTCTTTTCCGTCTTTTTCTTCTTCATTGTGATTTGAGTTCGTCTTTCACTTTCACTTCTTCCATTTGTCACACTTTATCTGCTAAATTTTCTCCCCAAAACCGCTTTCTTCGTTTTATTTTCCTTCATCTCCCCTTCTTTCTTTCTTTCTTTCTTTCTTTCTTTCTTTGCATTTATCAGAGCTCTGCATCCCTCATTCTTTCTTGCCTTTTCTCTCCGTTCCGTTCCTTTTTTCTTGATGTTATTCTTTCTTTCTTGCTTTCTTTCTTTCTTTCTTTCTTTCTTTCTTTCTTTCTTTCATTTTCTTATTTTTGTCCACGTCTTTATCATATATTTGTTGTTGTTGTTGTTGTTGTTGTTCTTCTTCTTCTTCTTCTTCTTCTTCTTCTTCTTCTTCTTCTCTGCGTGTTTCTATTTTCCCTACTCTTTTGTCCTCTTTTTTCTTTTACCTTTTTTTTATATTACGTCTTTCCTTTTTATTTCCCTCCTCGAAAAGTTTCCTTTCCTTTCCCATCTCACCTATTCTTTTTTTTTTTTTCCTTTTAGCTTTTGTCTCTTTTTCTCCCTCGCTGCCTCTCGCCTCCTTAACGTTGTGTCAAATAAGTGTTGATTTAAGAATCACGATTCAGTTAAATGTACAAAGGTATTACACTCAACCTCCGATGATTTTTAATCTGAAACGACAGGTCTGCAGATAAGGAGAGACAGAACAGTACAAGACACAAGTGCTGTATGTGTTGCTGGATGGATAGAATTGCTTAAAAATGCGGAAATTTGATTTCTGGCCAAAGTCGTGGTTATCAAGGTCACTGCCGGTAGCGTCGATTAACAAAGATAATTGCCGGCGACAGTAGGAAAATTTACCGACTGAGTCAAGGTCAACTGTGGACACCGAACAACGTATTCTTCTCCTAAGTTTTTTGCAAGATTTTAAGCGTTGCCTTTAACCAAATATTATTACACTAAACGTAATGGAAAATACGCATGGCGGATAAAGTGGCGGGGGTGGGGAGGAGTCTTTGAATCTAAAGATCGTTCAGTATAAAAATGATGTTTTTTTACGGTTATCTTATTTAAGAAATGAATTGACATACAGTAATTAAAACTTTCCTATAAATACAGAAGAGAAACAATTGTATAATTAGTTCAACACTATTTGTTTATATTTCTGAGATCAGGTATTTATGCTATGTATATTTTTCGGATTGTAGTCCTCATCTTTGTCGTATATTCACGGCGTTTCAGTAAATTCTTTTTAGTAAATAAACTCTCCGACATCTTTTATTCACGTCTGCTTCGGCCATAACTCTTTGGGTCGAGTCACTGGAATGCCTCAACCACCGATTTTATCCACTGCACCATGTGGATGGTTGGTCGAAGTAATCCAGTAACTTCACCCAAAGAGTTGTGAGTTCAATCCCTGGCCATAGCAAAGGTGAACAAAAACTTGGAAAGTTGAGTTGCTAAAGGGATATAACTGAAACTGAAACCTCAAATATCTGGAAGAGGCATGACATGTGGAAATAGAACAATCTACCCTGGTAGACAAAATAAAGGGTTCAATCAAATTTCTTATCACATGCAGAAGACTGAAGAGTACAACGGTCGAAACGTCGTGAATATTACATCAAAGATAATAACGACATTCTGAACAATATAAATAGTGTAAATACTTCAGCACTATTTATATTTCTAGGATTGTTTTTGTTTGTTTTTTTTTTTTTTTTTTACAGTGAGGTTCACTCTGTACAAGGCCCGGGGGCTACTCGAAGTAGTGTGTTACATTAAGAAGCAGTTTATACGGAACGGATGGTAACATAACGATGAACCCTAGAGTAGAGGTTAAGTATATCATCGGGTAAACATCCTCTTGGGAGCCCGTTCGATAGAGTAGTTGTTTGCGGAAAGAAGAAGTTCGAGTGGAAGTTCTCACCGATGGAATACAGAGATAATATGGGTGGTTTGCTACAATGTGCGTAGCATGGCGGGTACTAGGCCTGATTGGCCTAGGGTTTTAGTTCGTCCGACCACTTACCGTGGAAATAGCGATAGAACAGTGAGATGTTTGTTACATCCAGCCTGTGAGAGAGAGAGGTTGGGGGATGAAAAGTCATTCGTCATCCACAAGGTTTCGGAGGCGGTTTTGAACTCTATCGAGACTGGCAAGTAATGAATGGGCAGCTCCCTCCCAAATGTGAATACAGTACTCCATTCACGGTCTGATATGGCTTTTGTAAAGGCAGAAAGCACGAAGAGTCAGGTACGTAATGGATGGAAGCCGACCATTTTTTTCTTCCTCTTAACGATGGATCGTATATATGAGTTCCTCTTGAGGTCATGGGTGTGTTTAAGGCCCAATAGTCTCTGAAAGTACAGAGCCTTCTTAAAGAGACATCCGTTCATCATCACTGGTAGTAGTTCAACGTCTGATTGGCGATGATGGAATGTAGCTAGTTTTGTTTTCGAGGAAGTGAATGTAACCAGCCAGTTTCCCGCCAATAAAGAATTAGTGCTAGATCGGATGAGAGATCAGACGACAATCACTGATCATCAAGATGTTTAGAGGTGCACTCGTATATTATTGTAACATTGGCTCTTGTAAAGTATTGTGGGGACCTACCTACAAATGGACTCTTCCACACCTATATAATATGGCTACCAACTCTGAGTAAAGGGAGTCACCAAGTGAGGGTCACCAAGTTGTAGCCATAGAGTGAGTGAATGAGTGAGTCAGGACACCACGAGAGAAAGTAATCTCCAGTCCACATTTACCTTTGTACTACATTTCCCACAATATACTATTTAACCTTATATCCGAGTCCGTGCTATCTTTCTATGGTTCTACACTATAACATAAACTTAGAAAATAGCATGGGGATTCAGGTACTTACTGGAGGGAAGCCGACCATTTTTACTACCTCTTTAGCGATGGATCATATGAACGAGTTCAACTTGAGGCCAGGTGTAAGTTTAAGACCTAATAGTTCCTCAAGGCGTGGAACCTCCTCGAGGTGACATTCGTTCATCGTGACTCGCAGTAGTTGGGAGTCCTATCGGCGATAATGGAATGCAACTAGTTCTGTTTTCGTGGAATTAAATGTCAACTTCCAGTCCCCACCCCCACTGAGCAGTTAGTGCTAGATCGAATGAGAGGTCAGTTTCTGATCATCATGATTTTTAGAGGTGCACTAGTATATCGACGTATCATTGGCATATTTTTTTTACAAATGATCTAAGTATATTCTTAGGCAGATAATTTATGTAAATTAAAAAGATGATTTGTCTAAGAAGTGACCGCTAAGAAGCGTCTGCGTTGACAGCCAGGTCCCCTGAGGACTGCCCGTTAATAACTATATTAGAAAAGCAAAAGAGATAATATAAAGATATGTATACATTCTACCATAAAAGGCAAACTCGATGGTGGGAGACTATGAAGGAATGATTTTAGAGCTTTGAAATCTTGCATGCATTTATTTCATCTCTTATTCTTAATATCTATATAGTTTTCTTTCAAATATACCGATAGTGATTTTCCAAGCGTAGCTCAGATGTGGCACAAGGCCCAAAGCCCAAAGCATGGGGCACCCAGTGAGGATCGAACTCACTACTCAGTCGTAATTGTTCTAGCAAGACAACCCTGCTAACCATTACACCACCTCGAGGTGCCCAAATTTCTCTCTATATATCTTGAATCTCCAAGCGTAGCTCAGATGTGGCACAAGGCCCAAAGCATGGGGCACCCAGTGAGGATCGAATTCACTACTCAGTCGTAATTGTTCTAGCGAGACAAGCTTGCTAACCATTACACCATCTCGAGGTACCCAATGATTTTCTAAGCCTAGCTTCGATGTTTCACAAGGACGAAATATGGGGCACCCAGTGAGAATCGAACTCATTTTTCAGTAGTAACTGATCTAGCAAGAAAAGCTTCAAATATACCGATATCTGACTGTTCAAAGGCTTCTTCAATAGTAACTAGAAAATAGATATTATTTGGCCTCGTCGTGTTAGCAAGTATCTGCAAAAAAGGATTTAACCCCCAAAGACATTAATATTGACCTGTTTACTACATTAGGGGATGACGCTTCAGCTTTATGAACAGTGCAAATGTAGGTAGCTGAAACTAGGAATGGCGGGAGATTTTCGAAGTTAATCAGGACGTTCTGCAACTACAACCACCAACGAAAACATTGATCGTTTTCACCACATGGTGATCGATGTAGGCGATAGACTATAAATCAAATATCTATCACTATTAGCATATTCAGTGAAAGAGTCGAGACTATTCTCTGAGGGGAAATTAGTATGTCCATGGTTTCTGCTGTGTGGGTGTAGCGTCTTCTGACACCTGATCAAAATTGCACCTTGCTGATCACATCACGAGAAAAAAAAAACTGAAATTGTTTGAGGCATATCCATCTGGTTTGCTTTGAACGTTTCTTAATCCAGAAAGAGTGTTGGGTTCATCACTTCAAGCTAGAGACAAAGAGATAATCCAAGCAAGTAGAAACACTCCTCCGAACCTGCTGCAAAGAATGCCAAAGTCATTTCATCTGAAGGGAATATGATGGCCTTAGTTCTTTGGGATGCAAGAGGAATTGTGTTTATTGACTATCTTCAAAATGGTCACACCACTATGATAACTTGATATGACAGTAAGGAAAAAACTATAAAGATCAAACATTTATGAAAATTTATAAAAGGGATCTTGTTTTAACAGGACAAGGCTCTGGGACACTTGGTTTCAATAGGTGCTGTGCGTGATTGTTGTTTTGATCTGCTTGATTACACTCACTATTCTGGCCAGGAATTGTTAATTGGAGGGGAGGGTTCTAATTTCAGTTAGGTTTGTTATATTTACACATATGTATGAATCCACTTCTCCCCCAGCTGTACATGAATTAACAAAAAAAAAATCTTATAATGTAAGAAATATACTCTGGCTTTAAATAACCTGCAAAGGATTGGTAAACCGTAGAAAACGAATCAATCATTGTACAATTATTTCCCTCCTATAATGACACTTATCACTATACAGCGACTCAGCCCTAAACATATGCAAATACATGTGCTGAATACCAGATATTTTATAAGCTGTTTAGTTAAATACTCTATTGTTTACTGTCATAAAAGATGTGCGTGTCTGTCTGTCTGGGTGTTATATAATGGATATCGGCTTGAAATGGAAAATTGGACCCGAGTTCGAATTCCAGTCGAGATCGTTACATTCACGTACGCGCAAATATCCTTGGCAAAGGTATGAATCAATCACTTCTCACAACGCAGCTATTGATAAAATAGTAGAAACTGTATCTGTAAAAATCATTCTTATTTCTAAAAAATTGCCAAGACAATATTCACTGGCCAAAAAAAATTCTTACAATCCTGAATAGTTTTCGGCTTTAAACACCACAATGTCTTGATAAACCAGAAAAAAAAAAATCAATCACTCAACATACTGTCTTCAAATTTCCATTTCTTTCTAAGGACTTTATTACGAAAAACGACATGTAGCAAACATGATGGACAAACAATAAAGCCAACTA